CCAGCATGAATTTCAAGCCTCCAGGACCAAGACTTGAACTGTGGTCAGCCATATGAGAGTCCAGTGCCTTAACTGCTATGCCACCTGCTGGCTCTGCTACAATGATTTTTTTTTTTAAACTTGTACGTTAATTCCATTTTTCAATAAACTTTTTGAAGTCCTCTCAAAGTTGACAATCTGTGAATGGTTGCTGTTATGTGAGGTCAATGTTACATATAGCACTTGATGAAAGTTGAAGTATGCCAGTTTTTTTTTTTCTTTTTTAGATTTTTGCCATAGGGTGCATGCACTTGCTAGAGAAGTGTTGTGTCTGGTGTGTTTCTCAAGCTGCCAGATCCGGGACTCAAATAACAGAGTTGGCCATCTGGGATCCAGTGCCCTAACCACCATGCCACCTGCTGGCCTAAAAGTTACAATAATTAAGACAGTAAGCTTTAGTGGAAAAGACAGACACATAGATCAATTGAACAGACTAGACCCTAGAAACAGATTCACACAAATATGACCCAATGATTTTTCACAAAAATGTAAAGGCAATTGAAAGGAGAAAAGAAAATCTCTTTAACAAACTGGGCTGAAACAACTAGACATAAATATACAAACAAACAAACAAAACTCCTCACACTTTATGCAGAAATGAACTAAAAACAGATCATTTGTTCTAATTATAAAATATAGAATCATCTTTTTTAAAAAGAATTATTTTATTTAACTCTATTTATTTATTTATTTTAACTTGACCAGAGAGGGACAGAGAGAGAGAGAGAAAGCAAGCCACCAGGTTCAGGACTCAAATCACGGTCGGCCATGTGTGAATCCAGCACCTTTAACCATCACGCCACCTGCTGGCCCCAACCATGTAACTTTTTCAGAAAATAAGGAAAAATTTGTCATGCCCACAAGTTAGGCAAAATTTCTTTTTTTAAAAAAATAATTTATTTAATTTTATTTATCATTATTATTTTAAAATTTGCTAAAGGGCACATATGCTCACCAGAGAGAGAGAGAGAAAGTAAGAAAGCAAGCCGTCAGGTCTAGGACTCAAACCACAGTCAGTCATGTGGGAGTCAAGTGCCTTAACTACCATGCCACCTGCTGGACCCAGGCAAAATTCCTTAGATATGACACCAAAAGCATAAGCCAACAAAGATAAAAATTAACGAGACCAGCAGTTAGCGTAATGGCTATGTCGCTGAACTCCCATATAGGTGACTGTGGTTCAAGTCCCGGACCCAGTGGCTTAAACTCGCACCGGGCGCGTGTGCATGCATGCCCAAGATCTCGAGAAAAGAATGGAGGAAAAGGGATTGCGGTGTGGCCTTCCCCCCTGGGGGGTGATTTCTCGCTTTCTGTTCTTCTGTCTCTCTCTGTCTTTCTGGCGAACGCACGTGCCCTATAGCAAAAACCTCTCAAAAAAAAAAAAAGATAAAAGTTAATGAAAATTAAAAACTTTGCTGTACAGGAGCTAGCAGGTGTCATGGAGGTCAAGGCGCTGGACTCCTACAGGGCTGACAGTAGTTCGAGTCCTGGACCTGGCGGCTTGAAACACGCTGGGCATGTGTGTGTGAGTGTCCAGAATCCTGAGAGGAGAATGGAGGAGAAGGGATTTTAGCATGGCTATCCCCCCTGAGGGAAGATTTCTCACTTACCCTCTCTACTGCCAGCACGTGTGCCCTATGGCAAAAGCCTAATTAAAAAAAACAAACAAACAAACAAAAACAAACAAATGAAAACTTCACTAACAAAAAGATGCTGTTAAAACAAAGGATAAACTACACATTGAGGAAAAATATTTGCAAACTGGTTATCTAACAAAAGACTCATGTAGAATATATAAAGTGTTCTCAAACCTCAATAGTAAGAAAATGAACAAATCAATTTCAAAAACATGCAGGGCTGATCGTGAACAGGTCATTCACCAAATAGGATATGTAGATGACAAGTGAGCACAAGAAAAAAAAGTTCATCAGTCATTTTGAAAATGCAAATTAAGTTTACGATGAGTTAGTTACCAATATGTAACTATAAAAATAGCCATAAAAATACTGACAATCTATTGTACACATGGTGATTATAATTAATAGCAATGTGTTGTATTCTTTAAAATCACTAAAAGAAAGATTTTAAGTGTTCCTGTTACAAAAAAAGTAAGTATAGAGGAAATGTATATATTAACTAGTTTGATTTAATCATTACAAAATGTATACATACTTCAAAATAACATGTTCTACATAGTAAATATATACAATTTTTTTTTAGTGAACAAGAGAATTTATTTATTCTGTCATTGATACATTAGTATATTGATTTATCTGTACTGAGCGTTGATTGTGTGCCTTGCCCA